TGACCAATGCAATCCCACGTTCAGATATGAGTGACCAATACAATCCTGTCTTCAGATAAAAGTGACCAATACAATTCCGTCTTCAGATAAAAGTGACCAATACAATCCCGTCTTCAGATATGAGTGACCAATGCAATCCCACGTTCAGATATGAGTGACCAATACAATCCTGTCTTCAGATAAAAGTGACCAATACAATTCCGTCTTCAGATAAAAGTGACCAATACAATCCCGTCTTCAGATATGAGTGACCAATGCAATCCCACGTTCAGATATGAGTGACCAATACAATCCCGTCTTCAGATATGAGTGACCAATGCAATCCCGCCTTGACCATGGAGAGGTGACAGGTGACAGGACTTGTAGTCTCCCCCTAGCAACTTCATCTGCCATAGCAACTGATTCTGTAATGTGCTGTAAATGGCCTCATATACATACCAATGGACGCAAAAATGCTAATTCAAACTGTCATTTGACAGTTCCATGGGAACTATAGGTAATGTTGGTCAAATGACAGGGATTTGGGAGTTCTAGTGTTAAATTGTATGTTTTGACAAATGAATACATTAATGTTTTTAGATGATCAACGCAGATATTTCATGTTTTTTTTCTAATGCAGAGTAAAGAAAGATGTCGGGTGCCGGAGGAGGAAAGCGTCCCTCGGGAGGGGACAGTCCTCCTGGCCCACCTGAGAAGAAGAGCAAGAAAGAAGAGAAGACCACCACGACACTGATTGAACCAATACGAATAGCTGGAGTCTCATCGACGGTATGATGTTGTTTGTTTACGCTTAACAGTTTGTAGTACTTTTACTATTACTGTTGAGTAATCTTGCCTATCAGTATTCAGAGTTTCTAAATCTTTCATTTTTTTCTATGTATGTTTTTGTTCCGTGCAGGAAGAAATGGACATGAAAGTGCTCCAGTTCAAGAACAAGAAGTTGTGTGAGCGCCTGGAACAGAGGCAGGCCATGGAAGATGAGTTACGAGAGAAAATTGAGAAGCTGGAGAAGAGACAAGCAACAGATGACACCACCCTCTTGATTGTCAACCACTACTGGTCACAGGTACAACATTTTGTGAAACAACTCTGTTTTTTTTTTTTTAGCGTCTTGCTTCCAAGAGTCACAGTTTTCTGTAATGCCTTTAAACAATGTTATGTGATAGTGTATGCGTCTGGTTTTCTGAAGATCTTGCAAAGTTTTCCTTTCAACTTTGCTTACTGTTGTATTTGCTCATTTACTGTTCAATTTTTGTGCATGACTAGGCAGCTCATTGTGCAGTGTGAGCTTAGAAAGTTAAGTGGACAAGTGGAGGTCAAAAGAAGAAGTGTCCGACATTAAAGTATTTACAGTGAGTGAACAGCATCTGAAATACATGCGTTGAAGGAGAGGTCTAACAAAAATGTGACACAGATATTGGGAGACGGATCATTTTTCAGTTCATCATCTAAGCCAGTTTTTCAACTTATGTCTCTTTGGGAATCACACTGTTCATTCTAAACTACTATGTTTTGTGTGTTGAACTCTGTTATCTCTGGTATTTTCATAGATCCAACTCAAATTATTTAACTTGTGTCTGTCTGACAGTCTGCTGGTAATAAAGCCTAAAAATCCAATTTGTATGGATTCWTTGCAAAGTTTATGTAACTCTGATTTGTCTCTTCAGTTTAGGATACTTTTTTTTATATCTGAATGATTCTTAAAAAATATTTAAGCAAGCTARAAATAATTAAAAGCACACTTCTCTTAAAGTTATCAGGTGCAAGACTGAAAATAAGGCCAATATCTTAAGCAAAACTTTGACTTTTCTAGACTTTGCACAATTTTCAAATTAAATTATTTGAATCCAGATTAAAACTGTAACATGGAAACTTATCAACAGGTCATTTTTTTCCTGCTATGTTTCTGTTACAACAAAAATAGATATTATCCATCTCCTGTGGAAGCATTATGGTATTGATTGATTGATTTTAAAGAGTTGACAAAGTATTTTTGTGGTTTAAAAAGGAGGAGACAGTCCAAACCAATTTGTCTAAAATATTCAAGTTTTTTTTCCCCCCCTCTTAAATTTACAGCTGGAAGAGACCGTAAAGGTTTTGCGCAAATGCATCGAGCCAGAAGCACCCGCGTCATCCACTTCTGCCACACCCTCGGCACCACTCCCCGACACCGTACCACAGGAGGACAGCGGTGTCAGTCTGGCTTTGCCGACCGCTGCAGCCCCTCCTCCTCCATTACCAGAGGCCCAGAGTGAGGCTGAGCAAGCAGAACCACCACCACCGCCGAAGCAGGAGGAGCAGCAGGAAAACCATCAGGAGGAGCAGCGCCCCCCTCCCCTCGCTGGGTCAGATGAGTTGATGACACCAGCAGAGCCGCCGCAGGATTCAAAAACAGGTTAGCAGCAACTCTGTGACGAAGCTAGATGACATTTCCCACTGTGATCTGAGTCGTTTAATCTTTACAAACAATGTTTAAATGATTTTATTCATATACTTGTTTTCCAGTCAGCAACAGTCCTCCTAGTTTTTGACGATTGTATAAATGTGATGTTTATCTAGATCGGGGTGCCCAAATATTTTCTCTCAGAGGGCCAAAATTAAAATCAATCTGAGGGCTGTGGGCTAAATGCAGTAATATAAGAAATGCAAATACTTCTTAAGTAAAGTTGTTTTATTTTTTTATGATTAAGCTAGCAGCCAGTGTGGTTGCCCACATTTTTTTTTCAGCCCATGGACATGGAGAAAATTTAACTTATGCTCAGGCAGCAAAGGCTCATGGGACTTTTCATAATTTAAAATGTGAGTATATGGGGTATTATAAGGTGTGCACATCTAGATATGGACTTAAATCTAATCTAAATGTCTCTTGTAGTTACTTGTATTTTATATTTAATCTTAACATAATTACAATCTAATAACCAGGACAACTGATGGTGGGTCAAATCAAATGGCTTGGTGGGCCAGTTTTGGCCCGCGAGCCCCACTTTGGGCACCTCAGAGCCAGATGCACCGATTCAAATTAGCTGGATCAAGAACAGGCAGTTTAAAGTCTCAGCATAGATACTTACATTTTAGAATGAACCCATGTTATTTCTCCCGATTAGCTTTGTGATTCRTCTTATTTGCAGACACGTCCCCACCGCCCCCTCCCTTAAGTGAGAATGCTAAGGGTCTTCTTGCCACGCTGGAGCAGAGCAGCGAGGAGGAACTGTCCTTACACCTCCAGGATCGCATGCAGTTCAGTAAAGAAGCCATTGCCCATTTGGTGCGTGTTTTCGACAGGCTGCACAGTCGCATCGATGACATGTGCAGGGCGGTTCAGGCTGCAGGTAACTTATCAACATGACCTCGGTGTTGACACATTTGTAGAGCTTTAATACTGGGATTCAGTTAAAGAAAATGTTGAATTAATTATTTTTTCTTACCAGCCTCGTTTTTTATTGCCAAGTAATACTTTAAATGTGAGAAAGGATTTTGACAGAAATGAATGATTGTATATTATCATAATTATATTTGTCTTCCTGGTTAGTATGTAAGGACGATGGCCAGTCTGATGTCACTCTGAAACACACACTGCTGGAAGAGAACAACCGACTGCGAGATCTCGCCACCCTGCTACAGGGAAGACACCAYAAGATGTCCATGGAGGTAATTTTTTTTCTCTCTAAAGGTTGTTGAGTATTTGTAAATGTAGACACAAGTTATACATGTTTTAGTGAGGAAATGTTCATTACTGTGTCTCATTTTCTTGCAGTATAATGAGTTGGTGGACAAAGTGACCAGCGCAGAAACTAAGGTGTCTGAGATGGAGACGACAGTGGAAGACCTTCAGTGGGACATCGAGAAACTTCGCAACAGGGAGCAGAAGCTCAACAAACACCTGGCAGAAGCCATGGAGCAGGTGTGTTTGCATATGTGTTTTCAACTTGTTTCTCTGCTGCKGTCTGCACTGTTGAGTGTATTCAAGCTTTGTGTGTGTGAGACAAGGCATAGGCTCATGGTTGTTTTTCATTTTGTAAGTGAGTTGCTTTTAATAAGGTTCTAAGCATCACTGCATGTCAGTCCAGCTGCATTTTTTTAAGATCTCCCATCATCAGATTGTGCTTTGATAAAGTGAAAATGAGAGGATGCAAGGCGTGCACGTGAATGATCTTTTTTTTTTCTGAACACACTTTTGACACAGTGCTRATGGAAATGTTTTCTACAAAGAAAAGTTGAGTTTAGCGTCAACTTCTTAGTTATTGAGTCTTTGTGAATGTCTTTTTGAGCATTAGCAGTTTTCTTCTCAGCTCAGAGGCTCTTGCACATTTTGAAGGAGTTTAATGAAACTTGGTGGAAAGTAGAATCATGATGAGAGGTTGTGCATATTGTCAGCATTTTGTGCTGCACCCGTTCTTAGTGGAGTTATGACCCCTTTGCTATTTTTCATATATAGGGGATTCTTAAAAACACAAATGTCTGATTGTATATTACATGGTGAAAGTTCTTTGGGAGTTTTCTATTAATTATTGTTTAGATATATGTAGGTAGGTTTAGGGTAAGGTTGGGCGTAATCGTGTCATGTGCAATTAATCGTCAGAAAAACATTAATCGATTTTTTTTTGGCACTTGACGATTAATATGATTAATGCCACCAGGCAGAGTCCACTCGGTGCTCCTCTTTGCTTCAAATATGAAGAACATAAAAAAGTTCTGTAATTTATTTATCTATCAACAC